ACGCAGTTTTTTTTTCAACACATAGTGCCTCTGTTCCTTCTTATTTTAGAATACCACACCCTGTTATCGATATTCTCATATAGGTCTTTGGTATTTTTATTGCTTTCGGTTGGTGTTAGGCGGCTGCTTCACAGTCAATATGTGCGTTGTCGCTTCGTATAAATATGTAGTTGACACAAAGCGCACATCATAATGTTCGCCACAAATACACAAATACTTATCAGTTAATATTTTTAGCTTCGATGGATGAAAATGCTCCAAGGTCTTGGCTGTAGTGGCGACCATTTCTCGTGATTAAACTCATAACTGGCTGGAGGGCGGGCGAGCAGGGAACGGGCAGACAGGCTTTGGTTGTATTCTGGGAGTGTGGAGGTTAACAAGTGGAAGCCAACCAAGGGCACCCAGAGCTCGTCATATTTTTTTCGTCTTCTTCTTCTTCTTTGACTCTTGTAATATTGTAAATAGCCCATCAACTTGGAGCCCAGCCAAAGTGATTAATATTTATTTTACCCGAAGCTATAAAAAAGTTTGCTTACTTTTTTTTTTCCAATAAAATAGTATTTTCCGATTTACCCTACAGCGATTAGCTATTTAGCATTTTTATCAATGATGAGTTGGAGCTCGGTTTAAATAGTTGGGGTTGGAGGTGCAAGTTATTCTTTTGGCAACATGTTGTGTTTCGATAGATGACAGTGCTCTTTCCTACTACTGGCAAGGTGGTCTTGTTCGCCTTACCGCTTTAATGAAAATCCAGAGATTAATTTTCGTATTGCAAAAGGTAGAAAACTATGTAATCTTCCATTACTGTTGATGTCGTCATGTGCTTTTTCTTTGGTAAACAACAGAAACAGGAAAATTGAAACAAATATTTGACATCTTAAAGACACATCAATTTATTACAAACTTGCCAGCCATAAGAGTCATTGGATTAATATTTTATGAAAGGAAGAACACAAGTAACAGGGTAAAGCACAGTGTCTTGCCAACAAATTTAACTTGTTTTCAAAGGTTAAATATATACAATATCTTTTAGGATCAAGATAGAATACTGTTTTTATATCCTCCACCATTTTATGGACGGTATATTAACTTTGTCATTCCGTTTGTAACTCCTCGAAATACTCATTTAAGACGCCTCGAAAAATATATATTCTGGATCAGCGTAAAATTCGAAGTCGATATAGCGATGTTCTGTTGTAATCACGCAAGCTTTCAAACGCATTGAAATAGAAGTGTGTATTTTCCCAGTAAGTAGGTTAAGTTTTTAAATAGGCCTTGCCGGTCCACATTTTCGTATAGCCCCCATTATGGGAGCCTCCCAATATTTAATTTTAATGATTTTAGTAACTTTACAGACCAAAATCGTTTCTAATTTCGTATTTGAAATTCGTAATGGGTACTCGTATTACAACCAATGATGGAAAATTGTCTAATCAGGTCAACCCGACAAATAACGGTACCTCCCGACATTCGGTATTTTTATGATTTCAGCGACATTATTCAACGGATTTCTTTCAAATTTCGTGTTTGCATTTGGGTCGGTACTACAGTCTATGACGAAAAATTACTTACGCAGCCTTCATATAGCCTCTAGGTAACGGGTTTCGGATGCTTTTTGTACCCTACACCACATATAACCTACACCACATAAGATTATTATATCTTTGTGCATTTGTTTGTATATCACTTAGACCCACAGTTACTTTTGACGATCTTCGTAGAATTACTTTCTAAGTCGATTTATGCATCTCAGTCCGTCCGTCCGTCAATGTATTTTTGTGAACAAAATGCAGGTCGCATTTATTATTCGATTGAGATGAAATTTTACAAACAATATTTGTTTGGCCCAAGGACGAACCTTATTGAAGTTGGTGATAATCGGATTAGATTTAGATATAGCTCTCATATATCTTCAACCGATTTCAAGTTTATTGTGCAAATTATGGCTAATATCAGTCCAAATGGAGTGAATTTCGGGACGCACGTTTCCATTTTGTGGAATTCGGCTCCGATATATATTTTTTAATATAATTCTTCTTGAAGTGATGTCATACACTCTATAGCAATCTTATTTGGTATAAAAGATTAAAATGTCTCCTTCAAATATGTAAGGTATCGGCCCCGACTATCGTTTAATTTTTCCTTACTGGTTTACTTGTTCAACATAGACGTGTTCCACTAGTATTATTACGACCTGCATATAAGTCGTCACATTTTACAATGGAATTGTGTGAGTTCTTCGTGTCTGGTTTACACCCTGAAACAGAATTGTTCCCCATACAACGGTACCCCCGATTTTAGTTTAGCCACATTTTTCAATAAAATTATCTGGAAATAAACACAGGGAGTTCCTTTTGAGTACTTTACTCCCTAGAAGAGTATTGTCTAATTAGGTCCACGATATCGTATAACCCCATATAAAATTACCTCCCTATATTCGATATTTTGATGATTTGTCTGCATTTTCCAAGGAATTGTCTGCACTTTACACCCTGGAAAAAAATATCTATATAGGTCCACGATATCGTATAGCCCACATACAACTGTACCCCCGATATTCGATATTTTAACGATTTTAGCGACATTAATCACGGGAGTTGTTTCAAATTTCGTATTTAGAGTTCGTAATGGGAAGTACAGTCTATGACATGAATTGCAACTCCAGGTTTTCGAATAAGCCTCATATATCAGTATCTCCTTATATTCGGTATTTTGACGATTTAAGTGCTATATTTATGTACATTGAAGTTAATAATAGGTACTTACTGATCTTCGTAAAGCCCCGATATAACGGTACCTTCCTATATTATTTTGATGATTTTAGCTACATTATTTAACGGATTTTTTTCCAAATTCTTATTTGAATATTGTAATGGAATATGACAAAAATTGCGTATCTTCGTATAGACCCTAATATTACGACTATATTCCGTATTTGTTTGAGATTTTAACAGAACTTTTAACGGATCCTATTTTTTTGAAAATGGTGGGGAGTATTCAAAGTTCGCACCAGTCGAACTTATTGCTTTTTATACCCTACAACACTATGTGTTGGGGGCACTATAAGTTTGATTGGGCCAAAAAATATGTAAAACCTAGAAATATTGGTTTTCCACATAGAATGGTATATATGGATCTTTCTATCTTGCCGAGCTGAGTCGATCTAGGTATGCATATTCGTCCGTCCGTCTGGTCATGTAAATTTATAATTACTCTACAGGTCGCAATTATGGTCCGATCTTCACGAAATTTAGAATAGAGGTGGGGCCAGAATAGAAACCTATTGCTTTTGGAGATGAACGAATAATATTAAGAGGTCGAAATGGACCAACAAAATTTCATGATTTTGCAGTTGCTCTACAGGTCGCAATTATAGTCCAATCGAAGCAGAAGTTAGCATGGGGCTAGAGCCTAGGGCTGGGCAGTAGCCATCCAATTTTAATGGTCATCGGGTAATGTGTAGTGGGAGAAATAAACCATAATATTTGTGTCAAATAAAAACCAAAATTTCCATTAAACCGCGAATATTTTTAATCCCGGCGAAAGCACAAATAGACGAACAGGCCAATTCTGACCGTTACGTAGATGTCGGTAGTAAACATATCGGATATATATAGTGAAATATATACAATTTGTGTATATGCAAAGGAAGGGGATGTTAGCTAGAATGTTTATATCTCAAGAATGGCTGAACCTATTTTGACAAATTTTGTGAATTCAGAATGCCCTCTTGGCATAAAAGTATAAAACCTTAAAAAATCACAAAAAAAGATGTCAATAATGATGTTAATATAGATTTTGTTGTATTTTGTGACATTTTTTTATTCTTTCATATTTTTTATAGCACGCGATTTTTTAATTTGACTTATAATATTGAAGTGTTTGTTTTGTAATATTTTTTCACATTACAACACACGTTGGGGTTATTATATACAGATTGCAATTATCGTCCGATCCTCACGAAAATTTCCACAAGGGTAGGGTTAGGCTAAGAAGGGCTAGGCCTATTGTTTTCAAAGATGCTCGCAATATACTTAGGAGTTCAAATGGACCAACAACTAAAAATGTTCCTGATTTTGCAGCCGTTATAAAGGTCACAAATGGAAACCAAAGGACACGAAATTTCGCATGAAGTTAGAGTTTACAACAGCGGGTAGAATGGACCACTACTTTTGTGTGAAAAATACCAAAATTCTGTTCTACCGAAACGCTGAAAATAACTTACAGACGATATCCAAAATACACAGAATGTCGAACTTCTTGCGTTTTATACTGATTTCGTTGACGAATATAGCCAAATATCGTAGAGAATAATAATAAATCTGGGCAGTACTCTATGATATAATTTTAAAAACGAAATCTTTCAGAATAAATTTGGACATAAGGGGATTCCAACATATTGTAGTGTTGCGGACGGGCCCGCACGACTATGGCCTTTGCTTATTTGTTAAAAATAAAAAATTTGAAAATCATGCTTTATAGCACCACTCTACGGAGATCAAAGATCCAATGATTTCAAGATTTTAGCTTCCCTTTATACGTTATCATTCTTACTCGTTAGAGAACGGTCATGGAACTGATACGGATTTCATCCATAGAAACATTTGTTTTTGGTGTAGAAGTTTCTTATAAAGGAGAATATTCGAATTTCTTGATTTTAAGACACTGTTTTTTCCACCAGACAATCATTTGTCTCGATTCGGGATGAAAACATATGTGACTTAAGTTTTCGGTCATGCAATAACTCACTACCAGTTGCTGGCGTCTAAGCCCCAGCAACAACAACAACAACTAAGCATCTGTACATATGGTACACAAAACACTCTGTACACAGTCTAAAGTATTCATCCGTGAAATATGTATTAAAAGGTAATGCAGATCCTTGTTGGGGAATAGCCATAAGTACACATAATAAGGAAATTCTTCAAGTTTATTTCCCACAGGATTTCCTGGCATGTTTGAAATGGGGTTCTTATTAAATTTCCATAAAATGAACTTACCTTAGGTATTTTGCTTTTTGATGTTCTGTTTTTTGAAAATCTCGTTCAAAATTTGCGACACAACAATTATTGTATTTTTCCGCCTGTAATCCTTACAATATGTTAGCATTCATCGACGGATTTTTTTTTATCGAAAAATTCCAATGAATTGTTATTGTGTGGAGGATAGCACGTCCAATGAATTTTTTTTCACCCCCAAAACGTATCAAAATTATTTATTGCCATTTATTGTTATTTAGCGCAAATCATCAACAAAAAAAAGCTTTTAATATTAAGCCCCGTCCGTCACATCAACGTTCGTTATGCGATGTTGACAAATTTTATTTGTTAATAAACACTCGACAAAACAAATTAATATTTTTTTTTTTGGATTTTTTTGCTAGTGACCGCTGTAATGTGTGTTCGCCTGTGTGTTGCTGTATACACATATAAATTTAACCGGATTTGGTGTTGGTGTGTGTGCTAAGAAACAAAAATCTTTTGGCAAATGCTTCGATCTGATTTCGGTGTGTGTTCTGTGTGCCACTGAGGTAGAAACTAAACTGCCAGATGTCAGAACTAAAACGGAACTGCCATCGAGTATAATATGGCAGTAGGTTCGCCTCGCCGTCGTCTTCTTCTTCTGGCTACTGGCTTTGCTGCCCTTTTTGTTTCTTCTCTGTTTTGTATAATATTTCAAAGGAAATGCTGAGAGCTTACTGGCACACTTACATGATTTTGGCAATGGCATGGTGGTGGTAGTGGTGTTGGTGTTAGACCAAAACAAATACTCGCTTAGCTTTACCATATTGTGGTTGTAATGAATGATATATCAACTCGCTCTCGCTCTCTCTTTTTCCGAATTACATCTGTTGGAAAAGCTTTTAATGTTTATTTGGCAAACACCATATGGACTTTGTTGTTGCTTTGTTTTTGCTCTCTTTTTTTTTCAGAATGTACTAAAACTAAAAGAAAAGCAACAGTGTAATGTACCGTAAATTATGGGGAGCGTTATCTTGTTTGTTGTTTTTTGGGCAGTGGGCCAAAAGTGATTTTTATGTGGGAAATCATGTTGGTCTCATACCTCAAGAAGTGCAGAGTGAGATAGAAAAACTGCAACCAATTTCAGACTGCTGTAATTTTTAAGCCACTTGTCCGACAGCTCTTAAAATTATTTCAGTGACAGCTCATTATATTGTTTAGAAGCGTACAAAAGCCTTTTTGGTGAGAATTTTCCAGGAAGAAAGTTATTCGTGATGGAATTCAAGCGTGCTAGTGGGATTTCTTTATATTTGGCTGGAAAACCACAAGTGGCTATCGTTAAAGCACTCCAGCATTTAAATGTGAATAAATCTTTTGTGTCTCGTACCATCGCTCGTTACCGTGATACTGGAAGCCTAGCCCGACGTCAAGGAAGTGGACGGAAGAAACCAGCAACATCAGCAGAAAAAAGTTCGAAAATTAAAGAAGCGACTTGATATAAATCCGCATCGCAGTGGCCGGAAAATGGCTCGTGAGCTGAACATATTGCAATATTCCATTCGGTAAATATTAAAAAATGAGCTCGGAGCAAAGCCATTGAAATTCCAAAAAGTGCAAGAACTTACATCGCAACAGAAAGAAAATAGACTCAAAAGAGCTAAAGAGTTGCTTCGCTTGGCCGAAAGTGGTGAACTGCCGAAATTGGCTTTCTCCGATGAGAAAACATTCATTGTCCTGCAGTTTGTAAACAAACAAAATGATCATGTTTGCTTGCCAAAGAGGTCAGCTGAAAATGTGCACCTTCGGTTGGCCACCCGAACTCAAGCGCCGGCCATAGTGATGGTGTGGGCCGCCATAACAGCCGATTGTTGCTCTTTGTTCGTATTAATCGACCGTGGCATCAGAATAAATGCCGAATACTTCCGCGTAAATATTCTGGGGGGTGTATTAAAGCCTTAAGTACGCAAACACTATTGTGTCTGGAGTATTTCGGTCCCTTCAACCAAACAATCAACATCTCTCCATTCTAGATACCAACAGTGATACACAATTAGTACCATTTAGTACTTTGCGAATAATTCTAGTACGGATTGGCATACTATCTCAAAACCAGATACCAATAGAGACCTCGCTATCAAATTTGAGGATTCCAGCCCTATACCTTCACCCAGTACCAAATTTAGTACTTTTCTAACAATTATGGATAGCATGTTCCGAACCGCCTCCATATCTTAACCACGGATACCAATAGTGACTTCTACATCAAATTTCAGGTTTTCAGGTCTATTGCTTCACGCAATACCAACTTTAGTACTACTTAGTACTTTTTACAACACCTGATACCAATAGAGAACTTTCCGGTTCTATACATTCACTCAATACCAAATTCAGTACCATTTAGGACTTTTTGTGCACAAAAGTACCTATTTCGATAACTTCCTTCATATCCTAATTGTTTGCAACATGGAGAAGGAAGCGAGATAGGCCCAAAGTTACTTTTGAGGATCTTCATGGAATCTCTTTTTGAGCCGATTTATGCATGTCAATCCGTCTGTCCGTTCGTCCTTCCGTCTGTCCATGTATTTTGTGAACAAAATGCAGGTCGCATTTATTATCCGATTGAGATGTAATTTAGTAATCAAAACTTTTTTTTATAGACCAAGGACGAACTCTTTTCGTATTGGCGAGAATAGGTCGAAATTTAGATTTAGATATATATCTTCAACCGATTTCGGGTTAATTGTGAACCAAATGACCAATATCAGTCCAAATGCCCTGCATTTTGGCACATCGTACGGAACATAATTTTTAATTTTTTAAGGTAACAGAATGATAATCATAATAAAACCCAATGTTATACCCCATGAAAGGAATAAAAATATATATTTTTTATAATGTATGGTGACATTGTTCCACTGTTATGGCGTAACAAAGTATCTTATATTTAGATTTCTTATTGTCTTTACCATAGTTAAACACAAACACCTCTCAAAGCCTGTAATTTGTGCTCACCCCCACATTGGAGTATATTCAACAGCTGTCCACTAAATCATTCATTGAGAATTTTAGTACACCACTAAAAAAGCTCAAGTCAAAGCTTTCGAAATAATAAATGATGCCAGATGAGCTACACTAGTATGAATCTTAGAACAGCTTTTATTTGCTTAACGTGTTTGCAATTCAAATTTAAATCCTAATGTTGGATGCTTATTTCGCTTTCTTTGAGCGTTTTGCTTTTAGAAATCTTGATCTTTACCATCTTTATAATAGATCTTATCTTGATGGAAATATTGAGATGTGCCAAGTCTGAGTGGAACTGGATGTTAATTCCGCGTTTTCGGAGCTTCATGGATATCAAAAATTTAATCAAAAAAGGTACCAGAAGGAGTGAACCGATATTGTCCATTTTCGCACCTGACCTAGTACTGATGTAATATTTGGATTTGCAAAATTGGAGCAAAAGAGGATTTTCTATGCAGTTATTATACCCTCAGCCATATGGCTACAGAGGGTATATATCATTTGATACGGCCAAAACGTGCCTAGTCGAAATAACGGTTTTAGACCCTAGGTCTCTTTGGACCAAATCCGTTTCTGGACATCTGGAGTCGATCTAGCGAAGTCCGTCCGTCTGTCTGGCTAGCTGGTGCCCACGATAACTCTCGAAGGGAGTACCCGATTTGGTCCAAACTTGGTACATCGTAATATTTTTGTCAAACTTAGATCGAGTTCGGAGATGGGCAATATCGGTCCACTCCTTCTGGTATCTCCCCCCCTCCCCCTTCCACAAAAGTTCAAAATTTTCAAAAAATATATTTTCTGCACAGAAAGAGAAAGAATGATCCGATTCCTAATATTTTCGTCAGTGCTAGGTCAAGTGCGAAAATGGACAATATCGGTCCACTCTATCAAGTACCTCCCCCACAAAGTGTCAAATTTTTATACCCTCCACCAAAAAGGTATGGAGGGTATATTAACTTTGTCATTCCGTTTGTAACTCATCGAAATAATCATTTTAGACCCAACAAAGTATATATATTCTTGATCAGCGTAAAATTCTAAGACGATTTAGCCCTGTCCGTCCGTCTGTCCGTCTGTTGTAATCACGCTACAGTCTAAACGAATTAAGATAGGAAGCTAAAATTTTGCACAGATCTCTCTTTTGTCTGCAGGCAGGTCAAGTTCGAAGATGGGCTATATCGGTCCACGATATCGTATAGCCCCCATATAACGGTACCCCCCGATGTTCGGTATTTTGATGATTTTACCCACATTTTTGAACGGAATTGTCTGAAAATCCACACAAGGAGTTCCTTGTGGGTACTTTATACCTCGGCAGAGAATTATCTATATAGGTCCACAATATCGTATAGCCCCCATATAACGGTACCCCCCGATATTCGGTATTTTGATGATTTTACCCACATTTTTCAACAGAATTGTCTGAAAATCCACACAAGGAGTTCCTTGTGGGTACTTTATACCTCGGCAGAGAATTATCTATATAGGTCCACAATATCGTATAGCCCCCATATAACGGTACCCTCCGATATTCGGTATTTTCATGATTTTAGCCACATTTTTCAACGGAATTGTCTGAAAATCCACACAAGGAGTTCCTTGTGGGTACTTAATACCTCGGCAGAGAATTATCTATATAGGTCCACAATATCGTATAGCCCCCATATAACGGTACCCCCCGATATTCGGTATTTTGATGATTTTACCCACATTTTTCAACGGAATTGTCTGAAAATCCACACAAGGAGTTCCTTGTGGGTACTTTATACCTCGGCAGAGAATTATCTATATAGGTCCACAATATCGTATAGCCCCCATATAACGGTACCCCCACGGTATTCGGTATTTTGATGTTTTTAGCCATATGTTTCAACGGAATGGTCACAAGGGGTTCTTTGTACACAAGGGGTTCTTTGTGAGCACTTTACCCACCGACAGAGAATTCTCTATATAGGTTAACGATAACGCATAGCTCCCATATAACGGTACCCCGCGATATTCGGTATTTTGATGATTTTAGCCACATTTTCCAATCGTATTGTCTGAAAATCCACACACGAAGTTCCTTGTGAGTACTTTACACGCTGACATAGATTTGTCTTTATAGGTCCACAATATCGTATATCCCCCCATATATCGGCACCTTCCTATATTAGATATTTTAAGAATTTTAAAAGAATTTTTATTGGATTTTATTTTTTTGAAAATTTTCTAATTCGTTCCAAATGGTGGAGGGTATTCAAAGTTCGGCCCGGCCGAACTTACTGCTTTTTTACTTGTTGAATAATTACAACTCTTATAAAATGTGAAGTAAGAGTACGATTGTCTTTTATTAAGCCGAGGTCGGTCCACTCCTTCTGGTACCTCCCGCACAAAAGGTCGAAAAAAAATATTTTCTTCACAGAAAGGGAAAGGATGATCCGATTTTGCTCGAACTTTGCAAATCCTAATATTTGCGTAAGTGCTAGGTCAGGTGCGAAAATATCGGTCCACTCCATCAAGTACCTCCACCACTAAGGTTCCAAATTTTGAATAATTATAACTCGTTTAAAATGTGATATAAGGATCCAAACTTCTTAAAATTTCAAATTTCAAAATTCAGGTCGCAATAATATTTGTTTGGTCCTTATTGATGTTGGTGAGAATCGGTCCAAAGTTCGATATGACTCCCAGATCAACCGATTTCTGGTTAAGTGTGCAACAAATGAAGACCTGAAGACCTGAATTTTTGTATATCCGACCGAATTCTGTCAAGAAGCAAGTACCTCTTATTTGAAAAAAAAAAAAAAAAATGCTTCAGATACAGTCTAGCAGCAAGTACATCAAATTTGGTGAATATCGGTTCAGATTTGGATATAAATTATATAAAATTTTAAGACAATTTTTTAAGGACTTTATTTTTTGAAAATTTCCAAATTCGTTCCAAATGGTGGAGGGTATTCAAAGTTCGGCCCGAGCGAACTTACTGCTTTTTAACTTGTTTTTTTTTTTTTTTTTTTTTCATTTGGCATTTGAATTTTGTAATGGCATGTTACCTATGCAGGTCCATGTCGTCGTGAAGACCCTAACGTAACAGCTACATTCGGTATTTTTAAGATTTTAACAGAACTTTTAACGGATTTTATTGTTTTGGAGAATTGCCAAATTCGTTCCAAATGGTGGAGGGTATTCTAAGTTCGGCCTGGTCGAACTTACAGCTTATAACTTGTATTTTACCTAATTTTTTGAGGGTATTATATCTTCGGCCTGGTCGAAATATACGATTTTTACTCGTTGGTTTTTTATTTCGACCCGTCAGTCACAAGGTGCCATTTTTCTTGGCGGTTTATTTAAAATAACATTAAGAACTAAATTTTCGAACTTTTATAAACTTTTGTATTCGAAAAATTAATTTCTCAGTTAGTTATTAATCCACATCTAATTAATAAAACAAAATTACGAACATTTATTTGTTACGATTTATTTTGTAAAGGGATAACCCATTAACCTCTCCTTGGATTATAATTTTTTTATATTCTATTTAAAATTGAAATTTTTTATATTAAAATATTTACATAAACAATAGCAATTAAAAATACAACATGGGTGTGAAACGCAACTGGTGGTTTGCTACACAATATCAGTCAAATAAACGGAGTTAATCCTTTCTTAATGGGGTGGGGGGGCACAGGTGAGGGGGTTCTAATAAGAATTCCTTTCTAATACACGGTTTCTACTCTGAAAGGTTTCACTTTTCTTTTCAAATAAAACAAAATAAATTAAAAAAAAACATGTAAAGAGTGGCGACGGTGCATTTTAAAAAATTAATAAATAAATACATGACACGGGAATCAAACAAAAAAAAAAAACGAATGATTGCGGGGTGTGCGGGGTGTCACAAAATCACTAGGAAATACATTAAAGCTCTGTGGTTTCCTCTGCTCTGCTCTTAGAATAGGAAAATAAAAACTGAATACTCGTATATGTAGGTGTGTGTGTGTATATATATTTTCCAGTCAGAAATCATGGAAGAACAATCTCCGATTCTTCCCCTCTCCCCGTGACTTATTCCGGTATGCCCGATTTCAAAACCTGACTATTGGCTGTACGAAAGATTCGCTCGTTTTGCGGCAATTCTCCAATCAAATAATCTCGCATTTGTTCGATGGCATCACGTGAATGACCCGTGCCATGAAAGGCCAATGTTGCATCGCGGCCAGCATAATCCATAATTACATCAGCACCGCCGGGATGATCTTGAAGAAATGTGGTGACATCGTAGACCCGATCATAGATTACCACCCAACAGTCGGAGTAGTCATCATGATGGGCCACAGCATCCAAAGAGATTTCTGGAAGGGCTTCGCAAAGACGATCCGTTAACACCTTCTTGTGTGCGCCTGACTTATGTTGCGCTTTCTTTTCCGCCTGTGAGAGGGGCACAATACGCAGCGCCTGCAGCAGAGTAGTTATGGATGTTGTCATTTTATTTTTCTGGTTTCGAAAACTATTTTGCGGTTATTTGTAAATATTTAAAGACGTCACTTGTTTTGGTTTTTTTTTTTTTTTTTTTTTTTTGTTTTCGGTGGTTTTGTTTTTCAGTAGTTATTTTTTCAATTAGATTTCCCTTTCGTTTTCACAGCGCCTGAGATTTATCGCAAAGCGTTTATTTTATTACATTTAATTGCCACGAGCTCCGTCGAGATAATGCAGCTAATGCATAGGTGAATGGATTTATAAAGTATTTGAAAGCCGATGAGAAAAATTTATTGTGGCACAGATTACGATTGAGTCACGATGTCTGTGGGAGAACTGTATATGCGATGAGCGAGCGATAGAGAGGAAGATGGGAAATTTTTCTCAGAGCGCTCTCTTCTAAGTCAACTTGTGTTATGTTTCAATTTAATTGGCTGTGGAGATGTTAGAGAAGTGTGGATTTCCTAAGTTGTGTATATTTTTATACCCGGCTATTTTTATACCCTACGCGACACTGTGGCAAACCAATAGTTCCTTTTGATGTTCTCCAAAGAATCACATTCTAAGTGTAGGTCGCTTTTATTGCCCGATCGTAATGAAAATTTGCACAAAGCATTTGTTTGGTCCCAGGACGAAAACTAATAAAATTGGTGAGAATCGGTCCACATTTTGATATAGCTCTCATGTACATCTTCGTCCGATTTCAATGTTATTGTGAGATGTACATGTATTATTCGCCCTAATAGCATAAATTCCCGAAAACAAATTTCGTGAAAATCGGTTCAGATTTGGTTATAGCTTTCATATCCTCATCCGATTTCACCGTTATTGCGCACCAAATATGTACTTCTAGCACAAATTTGATGGATTTTTGCACATTCAAGCGAATATTTCAATTTGGCGAAACTCGGTTACCATATGGCCATTGCGCCGATATGCTTAAACCTTCAGCCATATGGCTACATATTCCATATATTATTTGATACCGCCAGTACGTTTCTGTTTTGGACTTTCTCCGTTTTAGGATTTCGATCCGTCCGGCTGTCTGACTGCTGCTCACTGTAACTCTCGAAGGGAGTATCAGATTTGGTCCAAACCTGGTACATCGTAATATTATTGTCAATCTTAGAACGGGTTTCGAGATGGGCAATATCGGCCCATTTTTTCTGGTACCTCCCTCATAAAGGTCAAAATTCACACAGAAAATCACTTTTCCTAGAGAACCAGATAGGATCACCTAATTTTGTGTAAGCTTTTTAAATCCTAAAATTTTTATCAGATGTGGATAATATCGGCACTCCTCCACAAAGGGTCATCATTGTTATACCCTCCACCATAAATGGCATGGAGGGTATATTAAGTTCGTCATTCCGTTTGTAACTCATCGAATTTCAGACTAATAAAGTATAATCAATATCGATACGCGTAAAAGACGATTTAGCTCTTTCGGCCCGTCCGCCCGTCTGTTTTAATCACGCTAGTGTCAAATCGAACTACGATTGGAAGCTTAAATTTTGCACATATAAGTATTTTGTCTGCAGGCAGGTCAAGTTCAAAGATTGGCTATATCGGTCTACGATATCGTATAGCCCCCATACTACGATACCACTCGATATTCGCTATTTTGAGAAATTTAGCGACATTATTTAATTATTTCATATTTTGTATTTAAGGCTAGTAATGAGTACTACAACATATTGCGGACAATTGTTAATGTAAGTCCACGTCTTCATATAGCCCACAGTGGAGCGACATTCTCCATTTTCGCATCTGACCTAGAACTAATGCAAATTTTAGGATTTGATAAGTTGGAGCAAGATAGGACTATCCTTTCTTTTTCTGTGGTCCAAAGAGGCATAGGGTTTAAACCATTATTTCGATGAAGTGCCTTTTGGCCGTATCTAGCCACATGGATGAGCGTATAAAAAGGACTGGTATTTAATGAAACAGATGTTCCTACTACATCGAATATATATTTCGCTCATTCGGAAAGAACAAAAGCGTGATGTAAGTGTCCGATTTTCTTCAAATTTCACACATCACAATAATTTTATTAACCTAGGGTCTGGTATTAAAGTGAAATACATCGGTCCACTCGTTCTGGTACCTACCCCACAAAAGGTCGAAACCCCACAGAAAGAGAGAGACGATAATCCGATTTTGCTTCAACTTTGCAAATCTTAATATTTGCATCAGTGCTACGTCAGGTGCGAAAATGGACAATATCTGTCCACTCCATCAATTACCGCCCCCAAAATGGTCAAAATTTTGAATAATTACAACTCTTATAACATGTGATGTAAGAGTCCGATTGTCTTCAAATTTCACACTCCTTCTTGTACCTACCCCACAAAAGGTGGAAGTTTTCATAAATGCTCTGTATTTTGGAATTTTGGCCCATTCCCGGCGAAGCGCTTGCTTGAGGTGATCAACACTTTGTTATTTTTAGTGCCAACCTTGTTTTCCGAAATACTCCAGACGCAATAGTACAACGGATTGATATCCGGAAATTTTGGTGGCTATTGTGCGCTGGAAATGAAGCGAGAAACCTTATTTTGTAACCATTCTTGGGTGGTGTGTGCTGAGTCCTGTTAGAATGTCCAAGGTCTGCGCCAAAATGTTTGCGTGCCCAAGGCTGTAATACACCCTTCAAAATATTTTCGCGATAATATTCGGCATTTATTCTGAGGGTAGAGCGACCACCGGCTGTTATGGCGACACACTCCATCACCATGGCCGGCGCTTGAGTTCTGGTGGCCAAGCGAAGGTGCACATTTTCAGCTGACTTCTTTGGCAAGTAAACACGATCATTTTGTTTGTTTACAAACTGCTGGACAATGAATATTTCTCATCGGAGGAAAGCAAATTCGGCAGTTCACCACTTTCGGCCAAGAGAAGCAACTCTTTAGCTCTTTTGAGTCTATTTTCTTTCTGTTGCGGTGTAAGTTCTTGCACTTTTTGGAATTTCAATGGCCTTACTCCGAACTCATCTTTCAATATTTGCCGAATGGTATATTGCGATATGTTTAGCTCAGGAGCAATTTTTCAGCCACTGCGACGCGGGTTTCGATCGCTTCGGGCCCCTTCTTTACTTTGCAAACCATTTCTGATGATGTTGCAGTTTTCTTCCATCCACTTCCTTGACGTCGGGCTACGCTACGGTGTAGCATTATCACGGTAACGAGCGATGGTGCAAGACACAAAATATTTTTTCACATTTAAATGCTGGAGTGCTCTAACGATGGCCACTTGTGGTTTTCCAGACAAATATAAAGAAATCACACTATTACGCTTGAATTCCGAATAACTATTTAAATGTTTGAATCACGTATAACTATTTTTCTGGAAAATTCTCACCAAAATGCTTTTGTACGCTTGTAAACAATATAATGAGCTGTAACAGCTAAATTTTAACAGCTGTCGGACGAGTGGCTTAGAAATGACAGCATTCTGAAATTGGTTGCAATTTATCCATACAGTACCTCCCTATATTCGGCATTTTAATGATTTTAGCTACATTATTCACCGACTTTTTATACCCTACCCAGGGTATTATGTCTTCGTGCATTTGCTTGTAATAGGGCAAAAGGAAACGAGATAGACCCATAGTTCCTTTTGATGATCTGCATAGAATCACATTCTGAGTCCGTCCGTCTTTCCATGTATTTTTGTAAACAAAGTACAGTTCGCATTTATTGCCCTATCCAGATGAAATTTTGTATTGTGAAGATCGGTTCAGATATAGCTATAGCTCCCATATATATTGTTCATCCAATTTGTTATATTTGTTACTCACAACCGTAATATGCACTCCGTTACAACGATATGCAGGGAGATATATATCAAATACAGCTCAGAAATATATTTGCCAAATTTTATCGAGATCGGTTCAGATTTGGATATAGCTCCCTTATATATCTTTATCCGATTTCAAATTAATTGTGCCCCAAATGGGCAATACCAGTCCGAATTTAAAAGATAGAAATGCTTCGGCATATTTAGTCCATTGGACTTCCTTCTGTATTTATAAGATTGTAACAGAATTTTTAACGGATTTTATTTATTTATTTATTTTATTATTTTATTTATTATTATTTTTTTTTTTTTTTTTTTTTTTTGTAATTGCCAAAATCGTTCCAAACGGGTGATGGTATTCAAAGTTCGGTCCGGCTGAACTTGTAGTTTTTTTCCTGTGTGCTTTTAAATGGTCCCAGCTTCATTTTTAGACGAAATTGCATGCAACTTATTATTTAAAGGTATGCATCAATTTTGGAGAAATTCGATTTTTAGGATAATTTCATATTCTAGTCGATATTCAAAGTATCAGCTCATGCTGATTCGTTTATACTATATACAATAAATATACATTTATAGGAATATAACATGAAATATCAAATCTGGGTAGAGGATTACACTGTCGCCAAGCATCTTCTAACAAAGGCCACAAATTTCCACTCGCACTATAGTTCTCTCCTAAACACTATCTCTCTATTGACAATTAAACTCTCAATTCTCAACAATAATTACAAACCCACATTATTAATATTCCCATACAAAAAAATCTCTTTCGATTCACACGAGCGTTGTATCTCCGCATTATCTCTGCTCGCTCGCAGTCATGATTTCAAACCACAATATTTTTGTTCCTTATCTTCACTTTTTTCTGCAGTGAAAATATACACATGTGTGAGTACGAAGTATAATGCTCATCAGAGTATAATGCTCGTCAGAGTATAATGCTCGTGTATATCACATTCAACTCTGATAAGAGATTTTCCTCTTTATATGGTGGTCGTGTGGCGGCTACCCATCACCCATAGTAAAAGTGAGGAAAAAACATCAAACGACAAATCTGTAATGTGGTGTGGTTGACTAGGTTGTGGTCGGAACATGCGTATTGAATTTGGGAAATATATTGGATATGTTTACAAATTAAAAAAAGCGCTTCCCAATTTATGCCGGAATGCAACATTATATGGTGACGGATAGTTTTGTGGAAGTAATTGAGTTTGAAAAGCGATAATAACCCGTATTGAAATTAGAATTTTAAAATTAATTTTGTATTTTAAATTCCTTTTAGCTATGCAATATTTGAAAAAAGTTCTGAAATAAGCATTTTTATCAATAAAATTCACTATAGCAGAACCTACAAAAATTTAAAAATGTTGAATTAGTTCCAATTTGAATTT